CCATTGGAATAAGGCGTTTTGAGGAAGCCCAAAACAAAACCAAGAGAGCTTACACTCAAAGTGGACAATATCATACCATTGTGGAAAGTCGTGTTCGTCTAACAATACTAAGGGTGTATTTTGTTCAAGGGCTCTAGAGAAAGAGTCGAGCCTCAATTAGGGGGAGGATGTACTTTGTTGGGAAAAATTGTTGAGATTCGAAGCTTTTTCCTTAATTCAAGAACAATACATAAACATAATGAAGGAGTAAGAACAATGCATAAAATTTAACAAGGTGGGAGATCAGGTGGAGGAGGAAGAACAGATTGCATCTCCCCTTCGCCATTTTCGACAAGAAAAACCATGGCTAATCCCCAAGCAAGGTGCGAGTCGATATGGCAATGCATCAACCAAGCTCCTGGATTATCAGCGACGAACCGAATCGCAACCCAACCACCGGGCGGCGTTCCAATGGTGTTCCTCATCGGTGGGTCAACAAGATTGAACCTCGCCGGGTCCGTCGCGCTATTGAAATTACCAAAACCCGAACCCACAACATAGAAATGGTAGCCATGGAGATGCATTGGGTGATCTTCCGTGGTGACAATGCTGGTGTCCTGCAGCACAATCTGCACACTCGATCCATATCTTAGCCGGAAAGTTTTGGTCCCTCGACCGGGCTGCCATAGTCCTCTGCTGACATTTCCGGTGTAATCGAATTGCAGGGGCGGAACAGGGGGGAAATCGGTGGTGAAAACGCCGGGAATCCCTTGGTAAAAGGCCTGCATAATGGAATTGGATTTGGGGAAAACGAAGGAGTTGTTGTTGATGCTGGCGGCGAAGCGTGTGCCGTTGGGGCCTTGGCAGCGGGGGCTGTTGGGGTTGGTGCAATTGATGAGGCCTAATCCGACGGTGAAGAGTAAGGATTCGTCGATTTGGGTTGGGACGTTTGCTCTGTTTAAGCTGCGGAGTTGGGCGGTGAAGCGGGTGGAGGTGGGTGTGTCGTTGAAAAAGGGGAGCTGGGCAAGGATGGGTTTTGGTTGTTGTTGGTAATTGTTGTTGTATTGGAGAATGGCAGTGGTGGTGGTGTTGTCGAAGGAGGCGTTCATGGCGGTGTTGTAAGCGGTGGCGGCCATGTAGTAATGGGCTGGAGGTTGGTTGGCTGTGAGGAGGACGTCGGTGGTTTGGCCGGGTCCGATCATGATGACATTTGTTTTGAATGGTTTGGTGTAAGATGCGTCGACGGCGACCACTGTCAATGGGTGGTTCGCGACGGAGAAGAAGAGTTCTTGATTCAGTCCGGAGTTTACGATTCTGAGAAGGATTGTCTCGCCGGCATTCACTCCGAATCTCACCGTCTCTGCAAAATCAAGTTAATTTCAGCTTAGTTGACCTTTTAAGTGGTCAATATAATCTCACCATCTAGCTCGGTTGACTTTTTAAGAGTTGAAATAAAAATAAAAAAGAAGTCGGGAAGGGAAAGCTTTGACAATATTAAGGTGTGGAAATCTTCCCCTAATAGATGCATTTTAAAGTTTTGACGGAGAAGCCTGAGAGGGAAAGCTTTGACAATATCGGCTAGGTGTGAATCTGGGCCATTACAAATGGTATCAGAGCCAGACACCGGACTATTTGTTAGCAAGGAGGCTGTTCCCCAAAGGGGAAGACACGAGATGGTGTGCCAGTAAGGACGCTGGGCCTCAAAAGGGTGGATTTGGTAGGGATCCCACATCAATTGGAGAAAGGAAAGAGTGTTAGCGAGGACGCTTTGCCCTGAAGGGGGGTGGATTGTGATGTCCCACATTGGTTGGGGAGGAGAACAAAACACCCTTTATAAGGGTGTGCAAACGTTCCCTTTGCAGACGCGTTTAAAGTCTTGAGGGGAAGCCCGAAAGGGAAAGTCCAAAGAGAACAATATTTGCTAGCGATGGATCTGGGCCGTTACATCAATAGATGAGGGATCCCCAATATCAATAGATGAGAGATCCCAAATTCACTCCCTTTCAAGGTCCAGTGTCCTCACTGGCACTACCTCGTGTCCACTCCCTTTGAGGCTCTCCAATCGATGTGGGTAACACACTGCCTCGTGTCCACCCTCCTTCACTGGGAAATCGCCCAGTGTTTGGCTCTGATACCATTTGTAACAGTCCAAGCTCACCGCTAGCAGATAGTGTTCTCATCATGAAACATATTTTCGTAAAATTCAGAGCGTTAAACTCTCACCGACCTTTCTTCGAGCATCTATAGAAATCGCCGGGCTGCCCGTTGATGGTGTAAGCATCAGACACATTAGGAGCCGCTCCACTCAACAGCGCTTGCCGCAGTACACTCATCGGATCTCTATCAAACCACTCCCCTGTTTTTCACACCCATCAAACAGTCAAAATCTCAGCATTAATCCAACCCATAACAACATCGAACAACAATTACCAAGAAGAACAGAAGCTTCTCTTTTAGGCATTAAGAACGGATAATAAGAACCCATCTTCGGATAAATTATGAGCGCGCCATAAACAGTAGCTCGAAGCCATCGGCTATGCGCATGCCACCACAGAGTACCCTCTTGATCTTCAATAGTGAACCTGTAAGTATAGCTACCCCCTGGCTTTATAGAGCATTGCGTTATAAATTCCGGCCCATCCGCCCATGGGTTCCTCAGCTGCTTGATCCCATGCCTAATCATATCAAACCCACAACCAGTTCATTACACGTCTCTGTCAGTAAAAAACAGAGATGGGTTTTGCGTAAAGAATTACCAATGAAGAGAGACATTGTAGCGGACAGCGTTAACCACTTTGATGACCAAAGAATCGCCGTTTCTTACTTCTAAAATTGGCCCAGGGAACTGTCCGTTCACTGTTATAATGTTATGAACTTTGCACAGCCTCTTCACTGGTTTGCGTTGAACCTGCATTTTGCAGCGAAACAGAGTCAGAAAAACAGAGGAATTGTGAAATTTTTTAGCGAAAATGGAGATTTTGGAAGCTTACGATGAATTCATGGTAGTGAGTTTCTGCAATGGCGAAAGGAATCAAGACCAAAATGGCTAACAAGAAGCAAGAAGACAAAGATTTTGTCTTTAACAGATGTTCCATTTTCCTCTGTTTTGTTGGTGGTGGAGGAGCTGAGTGAGTGAGGTATTTATAGGCAGAGAAAGCGAGGGAAGAGGGAAGAAGGAGCTCGATATAACATAGTACAACTCAAAAAATTTGTTGGAAAATTAGGTTTGGAGAGTCAACTGGTACACTATGGATTTAAGGTTGTTTTTTGGTGCAACCATAATGGGGATTTGTTGCACCCACTCCCTCTGCTCTGTTCTCTGTTCTGTTCACTGTTCTGTTTCATAAGAACAAATGAAACTAGTGAGATCTTCATTCGAAGAGCTTCGGCGAGTTAAGAACGATAACTCTATTGGTATGAAACTAGTGAGATCTTCATTCGATGAGCTTCGGTGAGCTAAGAACGATAACTTTATGGTATGAGACTTTTGAATAAAAGTAAAATAGATGGTATCGTAATACTACCACCGGACTAGAAAGAGATCTGCTGGTTCAAGTTAATTCGATGTCTACTTTGTGAAAATATAAACGAGAACGAGTACACCATTATCTTTAATAAAAAAAACTTAGTCGTAAATTAGTACCTTAGATAGTAAATGGATTAAAAGATTAAAAACACTAAAAAGAATAGTTTTTTTTTTTCAATTAGATCACAGGACGATGTGAGAACGGGGACACTGACTCTTAAGATGGGTGGATTGTTATCTCTCGTTGGAGAGGGAAATGAAACATTTCTTCAAAGGGTGTGGAGATCTCTCCTAATAGACGCGTTTTAAAATTGTGAGATTGACAACAATACTTAATCGACCAAAATTGATAATATCTACTAACGGTGAGCTTAAGTTGCTATGATAGTAACTTTACACTTTAATGAATTATAAAATATTTTAATCCGGTATAGACATTTATTTTAGTTTATTAATTTTTTTTATTAAGCGTTATTTATAATTAATTTGGTTTATAATAAAGTCAGAAGTAGTTAATGTTGTATTTAAACATCAATCAAGCCACTAATTGGGAAGAGTGTAGTGGTTAAGTATATAACATATCTGTTGACATTTTGGAATATTTTCAACCGTTGAAATGAATTAGGTCAATGGGATGTCTGTTTTGATATCAAATTAGTTGGCCTGCCCATTGACACTATGATTATCTTTATTTTTTTAAAACAACTATACTCGCACCAATCTGACATGTGCCGAATACGTTCTGATGTTTAAATTAATGATTAGATCGAATCGAGGTCGAGAAAAGCTATTGTCAAATACGTGAGTAGATAGTATAAGCTCTCATGGCTTTGCTTTGGGATTCCTCAAAAGGCCTCATTCCATAGGAGAGAGTATTCTCTAATTATAAACCCATAATCATTCTCTAAATTAGCCGATGTGAGACTTTTATCATCCAACACAATGCTTAGATTAATGGGTCGATCGAATTGATATCGAGAAAAGCTACTGGGCAATACGTTTTAATGCATAGATCAATGGTTAGATCGAACTGATATCGAGAAAAGCGATAACCCAATATATTTTGATACTTAAATCAATGATGGGATCGAATTGAGGTTTGAGGTCGAGAAAAGCTGAGTCATAACCAGAGTTGGTTGGAAATACATAGAGGAGGGACACGTGTCTCCAGTCTTTTGCAGGTCATATTCGGTCTTCCAACTTGACTTATGGGCCGGCCAATGGGATTTGCTTTTAGTGGGCCCAAGGGTAGAGTTGGGCTTAGGAAGCACAAGCCCATGGGCTTCTGGATAGTTTTTATTTAAACTTAATTATTCTTAAAAGAATTTCAATTGTAGTTTGGGTGAGTTTGAACTAAATGACGTATAAAATAAAGGTTAACTAACCTTAATCTATTGAAAAGTCAATACTACCCTTAACCGTTAGAAGAACACTAAAACGGCACCGTTTTCGAGGTCTGGAGATTTCTGTGAAGGGTGGGTTTCTGTATTTGCCACGTGCTTGTGTTGCTTAGTCTTCTTCTTCCTCGGCTTACCTCTCTCAGCCACGCCGAATGGTGGCGACCTCAGCTACCGCTCTCTGAAACCCCTTCGGCCTCTCCGCATTTCTCTTGGTAATTTTTCGAAGATTTTTGTTCTCTCCAAACGGTCGAATTGAACCCTAGAGTGTTTCTTCGTTTTGTAGATTGCTGAACTGATCAACCTAGTGGTAATTCTTGAATTCTTCTCTTGTTTCACCAGTTTTTGTTTTGCGGATTGGATAATATGATGATGGATTCTGAGAACCAGGGCTTTGAAGAAGCCCAGTTGTATTCCTCTCGTGACCAGATGGAAAATTTGGTTGTCAAGGAGCAATTAAGCTCCAAATCTTTCTCTAATTATCGTAGTGCCATGTCCTCGCTCTCAGAAACGCATCATCCTTTGTCCCCGCCGACCATTCTTACACCGGCTGATTCGGATCCCCTGCTTGCTCCGACGATAGATCGAGATGTCCGAAACCCTAAAGCGTCCGATCGTTTATTCTCCGAGCCACTTCACTTTTCTGATGTGAATTCTGTTCCGTTTGATGGGAATAGTTTTAGTGATGTTAATGGTGTTGAAAGCCCCAGCAAAAGTTCGGAGAGCTCTGGGGGTTTATCCAGATCTTCGTCTTCAAATTTGGAATATATACAAATTACAGTCTCGAATCCTCAGAAAGAGCAAGATGTTTCGAACTCGATAGTGCCTGGTGGTAATTCGTACATAACTTATCTGATCACTACCAGGACTAACATGGCGGAGTTTGGGGGATCAGAATATAGTGTTCGAAGGAGGTTTAAGGATGTGGTGACGCTATCAGAACGATTGGCGGAGTCTTATAGAGGGTTCTTTATACCCCCACGCCCGGATAAGAGTGTGGTGGAAGGCCAAGTGATGCATAAGCAAGAATTTGTGGAGCAGAGGAGGATGGCACTGGAGAAGTACTTGAGGAAACTAGCAGGACATCCAGTGATCAGGAAGAGCGATGAGTTTAAGGTTTTCTTGCAGGTTCAAGGAAGATTGCCACTGCCAACGACAACCGATGTTGCATCTAGGATGCTTGATGGTGCAGTGAAACTCCCGAAGCAGTTGCTCAGTGAGAGCGCAATCGCACCTCAGGAGGTGGTACAGCCGGCAAAAGGTGGAAGGGATTTGTTAAGATTGTTCAAGGAGTTGAAGCAATCTGTGACGAATGACTGGGGAAGTTCAAAGCCTGCAGTCATTGAGGAGGATAAGAAATTTTTGGAAAAGAAAGAAAAGTTGCGTGATTTGGAGCAGCAGCTCAGTGCTGCATCTCAGCAGGTGACATACGTGTTATACTTTATCATTAACCAAACTGCCTTTGAGAATGTGTTTGCTATTTTCTCTTCGTCTTAATTGTGGTAAAACTTATCTCAGGCAGAATTATTGGTTAAAGCTCAGCAAGATATGGCAGAAACATTAGGAGAGTTAGGTTTGACCTTGATTAAGTTGACAAAATTTGAACATGAGGAGGCTGTATTCAACTGTCAAAGAGTTCGTGCTGCCGATACGAAAAATGTAGCAACTGCTGCTGTTAAAGCAAGCCGATGCTATCGGGAACTAAATGCTCAAACTGTGAAACATTTGGTAAATTTTTAATCTTCCTCAAAAATTATATCTGAAATATTGCAATTTGATCAAGTTATTTTGAAAATGGCTTTTAAAGAATAAATTGGGCTGGTTAGTATTGCAGAAGCTCAAACCCACCATACACTCTTCAGTTTATTATTTATGTATGTGGACTATGAACATCATAGTTGTTCATGTACTGATAGAATAATAGCAGCTAACACAACACTCTTGCATTTCATCATAGTCTTATAATTATTTATTTATATATTTTCAGGATGTTCTTCACGACTATTTGGGGTTAATGCTAGCAGTTCATGGTGCATTCTCAGAACGCTCAAGTGCTTTACTGACTGAGCAAACTCTATTGTCTGACTTGTCCTCTTTGAAATCAAGAGCCGAAAAGCTTGAAGCTGCATCATCTAAAGTATTTGGTGGTGACATAGCGAGGATTCAGAAGTTAGAGCAGTTAAAAGAATCCATAAGAACTACAGAGGATGCTAAAAATGTTGCAATGCGTGAATACGAGCGCATAAAGGTGCCTTCCCATCAAACCTTGTTTCCATTAATATGTTTTTAAACTGTAGTACGTGAGAGTGAGATGTATGTGATGGAAAATTCTCAGCTTGGTTTGAATGATCCATTGCTCTTATTGTCCAGAGTATTGTTCTATGTTGTAGGATAGGGACTTTTGTTATTGTATGTGATCGAGATTAGGGTAAACCCAAAGAGCAAATGACTATGTTACGCTCCCAATTATGAATATTATCAGAGGAGGGGCAAAGGAGTCCATACGTCTTTGACTATTTAGTTAGAGAACATTTTAGAGGGACCACTTAAGGTGTCAGGATTGTAGGAGAATTGAGGGGTTAGGGCATTATTTAGACTGCGGTTTGGACTGTTTCTTTTCTTCTTATGCTTTTTGTGAGTAATTTTTCTTGAGTGAGGCTCATTGGCTGGGAATTCCTTAGGGCGACTGTTCTTTCCTCTGAATATCAATATATTGTAAGGGAATACCTTACAAATTGACATCAAAACAATTGCAACTTGGGGATATTTTAGAAAAAATGTCTAAAAAAGGCATCAAGGAAGATTTGGAACTTGTGGATAAGGACATGGAAGGGGTGAAAACAGAGTTGGGTCCATTCAAGCGAGAGTGCTATGCATACATGGAGTCAAAGAATCGATGGCATCTTCATCCAAATCCAACTATCGATTATAAAAGACGTTTGCAACGATAGCCACTTGGATGGCTTGATGGTGACCACAAACAACATCAATCGAAGGTGAGGATAGCTTTGGAAAAAAATAGGAGGAATGAGGAAAATCCGATTAACTTTCAATCCTATGGTCATAGAAAGCAAATCGACTTTCGAGAAGGTGGAGGAGCCAACCAGCAACCAAAGTAAGTTCAATAACGTCAAGATACCTATTTTTGGAGGGAACGATCCCTATTCATGATTATTTCATGCCGATAGGTATTTTCAAATTCATAAACTAATGGGTCTTGAGAAGATGATTGTGGTGGTTATTAGTTTTCAAGGTGTAGTGTTGAATGGGTATCGAGGGAAAGAGGAGAGAGAGCCATTCATGGATGGATATGACCTGAAATCAACTGTTAGAGAGAGATTCTGGAGAGCAAAGAAGGGTAGCATTTTAGGTTGATTTCTCATTGTGAAGCAAGAATAGATGGTGACAGAATATTGCGACTTATTCGAGTTGTTGATGGCACCATTCCTCCATCTGTCTAATGACATATAAGAAAATACTTTCAAGAACGGACTAGATCCAATGATTAAAGCTGACTTGATGTGTTGGCAGCCTATTGGGCTAGCTAATATGATTAAGACATCACTGTCACTTGAGGATAGAGAACAAGCTACGCTTGAAGCTTTAAGGTCCAATTTGTATGGAGGGAAAACCCCATCTCAAACTCCATAATGCACATGTGTGGAGGGACAGAGGGCACGAAATCGTCGGACGTTGTTCCCATGTGTATGATTACGTTGTCTAGCAACAATGTTGTAGTGCCATGAAGAGAAGGGTCGATGGAGGGAAAAGCTCATCTCAAACTCCATAATGCACATGTGTGGAAGGAAAGGGGGCATGAAGTTGTCGGACATGGTTCCCATGTGTATGATTACTTTGTCTAGTAACAATGTTGTAGTGCCATGAAGAGAAGGGTTGATGAAGTGGTTGTCTGATGCCAAATTCCAATCAAGGAAGGAGAGGCATTTGTGTTTCTTGTGAGGAAAAATATATTGTTGGGCACAAAGTGAAGACAAAGAAATTGCGAACTATGGTGGTCCTTGTCAATGGGGAAGAGTCAAAATTTATAGAGGAAGAGGGAGGAATACGTGAGGGGGGAGGGGACTTTGACACAGGAGGTGATGTCCATGGGAGGGATTGCCAAAATCAACTGGGATGGTTGTGATATTAGTAGTGGTGGATCCATTGAGTAAAGCAGCCTACTTTACTGCCTTGAATCACCCGTTTACAGCCAAGTCAGTAGTTGATGTCTTTATAAGAGAAGTGGTAAGACTCCATGGTTATATTCGTTCGATAGTCTCTAATCGTGATAAAATATTTATCAGTCACTTCTGGATAGAGTTATGCCGATTGCAGGGTACCAAATTGTGCCGAAGCATATATCCCAAGTACTTTGGGCCTTGTTACGTGGAACAGAAGATTTGGGTCCATGGCCTACAAGTTACCGATACCAAAAGAAGCAAACGCCCATCCTCTTTTTCACATCTCACAATTGAAGAAAGCTTGGGGAATTCATCAAGAAGCACTATGACCTGCCATTACTCAATGACGAGTTTGAATGGATTGCTGAGCCCAATCAAGTATCTGCCGTTCACACTAATGACCAGACAGGATTAGAGGAAATTTTAGTTAGCCGGAAAGGGTTACCAAAAGATGAAGCTACTTGGGAAGTTGTCAGCGAAGTTCGGAAGCAATTTTTGAGTTTCAACCCTTGAGGACAAGGTTTTATTGCAGCTTAGGAGTGAGGTTAGGCCCCCCTTTACGAAATATTATCATAGAAGGGACAAGGCTGTCAATACACCTCTGATCAGTTAGTTAGAGAACGTTTTATATAGGGACCACTTAAGGTGGAAGGATTGTGGGAGAATTGAGGGGCGTAGGGCATTTAGACTGTGGTTTCAGTTGTTTCTTTTCTTCTTATGCTTTTCATGAGTAATTTGGCTTGAGTGAGGAAAAAGAGAGTTTACCAGTCCTTTCTAATTGACTGGGAGTATGTATTCCCTTGGGGTAAATTTTCTTTCCTCTAGATAGCACTATATTGGAAGGGAATACCTTTACAGACTAATTCTTGGAGCCCGTAGGAGATTGAATTTCTGTTTGAGTCATATTAGATGTCATGACACTGTGCTTTAAGAGTGATGTCAAAAGATATGAAAATGGCTTCAGGATCTTTTAGGAAACTTAAACTAAACTATCATGAGTTGGTCAATAGTCGAAGGGGCAAGGTGTAAATTCAGATGTCTTGGAGGTTGGGCAAAACCATGGTAGCTAGTATTTAACTGCTAGGTACGCATAAGTTGACTCAAGTAATTCCACTTTTAGTCAAAGGGGAAAAAATTCGCTCTTAATGATGATGATTCATAGCTGGGAACAAGTTTTACTTTGTTGCTTATCAGTGAGATATCAAGCTGTGGAATTTTTTTCCCTTCTTTCCGAACAGCATAATACTTTTTTCAAGGTATCGGGTCTAGAAGAACCGTCTTCATGTTTGTTCCTGATGCCTTTTCTCATAAATCGATTATTATCATCATGTTGGATATGTTTGTAAGGGACTGAGAAGAAGGCACTGAATGTTGTACAGATCAACTTACCAAATTCTTGACTCAGTTATCATAATTTGACTTGCTTGGGTTTCTCAGTCATTTTTTACGCTTAAAATAAGCATGGCCTGACGACAATGTTTGTAATTCAGGAAAACAATAGGAGCGAGCTGGAAAGATTTGACAGAGAGAGACAAGCCGACTTCTTGAGTATGATGAAAGGGTTTGTAACAAATCAGGTACTTACCGTCCCATCTAATAGATAATGCTCAGGTTTTTTTTGTCCATAATTCATTATGTTCTGTATGATTGCATGAACTGATTTTTTACACACCTTTATCAAGTAATGGAAGTTCAGACTCGTTCAGTAAGAGAAAACAATGCTGTCAAATATTCTGAAAGTACATATTCTTTCATCTTTTTAACTTGGTGCTGAAGAATAGCTCTGTAAGTTTACATACGAAGGCTTTTTTAGTTTCCAGGGTCCGATTAGATTAGTCGAAGTGGGGTTTGGATTTCGCAGGAATAAGAACATGAAAAGAGGTAGAATTTGTGGCTTCTGTTGGAATTGATATGAATATGTGAACAGAATCGTTCATTAAAAAAAAAAAACAACTAGGTGAACAAACCACCTTAAACTAATGATAAAAAAAAGAAATGAGTTCAAATCATGGTCGGCGCCCATTTAGTATTTAGTTCTGTATGAGTTACTTTCTTAACTAAATGTAGTATAGTTAGACTCGTGAGATTAGTCGAGGTTAGTCAAGGTGCATATAAGTTAGCCTAGACATTCACAAATTTCAAGAAAGAAAGAACATGAATTCTCTGATTCCTCTTAAGTTAGATTCTATGGTCTTCTTTGTAAAAGATCGATTTAAATGAATACGAGAATGAAATTATTCATTCATCATCCTCGACAATAAATGTGCAAGTCTTTGTTGAATAGGTCGGATATGCAGAGAAAATGTCGCACGTATGGGCAAAGGTAGCAGAGGAGACGAGCAGCTATTCAAAGGAGAACAATTGAAGTTTTTGTGGCTTAAGAAGATCATTTTTTTCTTTGTTTGTTCTATTTTTGGTCCCACAAGATTCATTTTTTACCCACTTTGTTGATATAATTTTACCTTTCTCAAGGTAATAAAACATAAAAGAGGAAGAACACTTGGGGAGGAGGGATTTTTTCACCATCTCATTCCCCAAGTTGTTGGTGTCCTCACGAAATGAACTATCCAAACACTGAGCTGCTGATGAAGTTCATGGGAGAACTGAGGTTTGATGATATATTATTGTAAATTCATCTCTTCTTCTTCTTCTTCTTCTTCTTTGTCTTAATCCTAGAAAGTTGAAACTTCTGAGTTAAGCAGATTTGTTTATTTTGGCCACACATTTTCTTCTGTCGTTCTGTGCAGTTTGAAAACGACAAGTCGTTCTTTTGACCATATCCCAATGCCATTTTCTTGGGTGCCCCAATCAATAATGCCAAACTCCCCCCCCCCCCCCCCCCCCCCCCCCCCCCCCCCCCCCCCCCCCCCCCCCCCCCCCCCCCCCCCCCCCCCCCCCCCCCCCCCCCCCCCCCCCCCCCCCCCCCCCCCCCCCCCCCCCCCCCCCCCCC